GAACTAGAATCCGAAAATTTTTTTCTAATCATTATGTACAATTTTGAGCTATTTATTAAAATTTACACTTTAATTACTCGAAAAACGTAAGATTCCATGTTACATTGATAAACAAAAAAATTACAAGTCGAAATATACTATTATAATTAACAACCAAATAAGTTAATAAAGTTAATATTTAATAAGACATCTACAATATTTTGAGAAAGTTGTAGAATCTTCTTTCGTTTCTTTGCATTTCCTGAGAAAACTTACCATAGTAATGTATATATTTTTTTACACCATCAGAAAGTAGAGATTTCAACGAAGAAAAAGCCCACCGACGTTTTTAAAAAAGCAGATATTTTGACGTGAGAATTTTCGATTGAAAATTAGGGTGCTTTTTCGATATTAAGTAAAAATAAGGTGAAAAAATAAATATTTCAAATAAAAAAAATTACAGCGTGTTTGGGACATAAATTTTTTTGTAAAAGATAAAAATAAAAAACCAAAAACTTGGTTATTTGAATTTTTCACATAAATTTTGAGGTTATGTGAAAAAAGTGTAAATACAAAAGTTGTAGATCTTTTTATTACCTACAACTTTGCTATTTAACTTTTTTCCATAAGACTTGTAGTTTTTCTGAAAATCAAGATAAACCTTTTTTTACCCTTAAAAACTCACCCCCTACCCCTTCCCGACCTCAGATCGCCCGTAAATTATTTTTCCTTTCATTTCTGTTATATTCTCTTTCTTTTCCAATGGGTTTCATCCTACTATATTTTTTTTTGGTTTCAAAAATTATCGACCCTGGTCTATATCAATATTCCTCCATTCTGCAAATTGTGAACATCGTCTTCAATCCTTTTCCACAGTTGTCCCTTACATCAATAGTCGCAGAGTAGGTACACTTTCTGTTTTAAGTTCCCCCTAATAAAATTACGGGGATTTAAGTCGGGTGGACGTAGTGACTAGTGAATTGGTGCATCGTGTTCTCTGCCTATCCATCTGCCTGGGTGCTGATCATTTAAATGTTGTATTTTGCAGAAAATATAAATCTCTGTTGCCATCGAGACGGGTTGGCAATCCAACAGCACCAACCAGAAAGTTACTGATAAAACAATTCCAAACGTTTATACTGAATTCACGCTGAAAACGTGTTTCTATAACGACATGGGGATTTTCATCTGCGTAAACATGCTGGTTATGGAGATTTATTATCCCACGTTTCGCTAAACACGATTCGCCCGTGAAAAGAATTTTCTTCTGGCGAATAATCTGCGAGAATTGAAGACGAGCGTCAGGATCAAGAGGCCGAAGTTGTCGAACTGGGTGAACGTGAAAAGGATGGATTTGTTCGGAAATTACTATATTCGCTGTGCTTTTGGAAACTATGTATAGTCTGCGTTTGTATTAATCTGACTCCTGATTTCCAGAATTTCTTGTTCCACAGTGCGTAATCTAGTTTAATAACGACGTCTCCGGCATTAACAATTTTAAATCGACCAATTTCTCGAAGACGTCTTTCGATATTTCTGACAGTTTGTTGAGTTGGGATTGGACGATTCGGATATTTTTCATGGTACATTGGCACACTTCTACGTCAGTTTCCTTCACAAAACCCTAGATATTGATAACATATCAGTATGTTTGACAAAGCTGTATATATTGTTCATCTTCAGAGCAGTTAAAATCGACAAAAATTATTTATCAATGACAATTCGTGAAAATAATGACAAAATGTAACCAATAGTGGCTTACTATGGTTTTTGTTGCATCGTAGTATGCTGTAAAATTAGAATATGTCATTTCGATCATGAGATAAATTAATATTCTTTTGAAATGACGTATTTACCTACTTTAAGTCCGAAAAAAAATTAATAAACCCATAACTATTAGAAATACAAAAATTTTAAAAGAGAGAACAATTTTTAACAAACCCTTCCATCTTTAAGACAAAAAACAAAATAGAAGCTTTTGGCATGACGCCTGACAAAGTGTGGATTATTTCAAGGGAGGGGGTATTTTTCACAGTTTATATGCGCATGAGGCTTTCCTTTCCTGAATCGTCAAAGAAATTAAGGAGCAGGTTTAGGTTTATTGCTTGTTAAACATCAATAATTGATGATGAAGATGAAACACATTTTTTTGCGTTAATTTTCTCACAATTTTGTATTAAATACTCATCAAATATCGGAAAAAAATCAATTTTGAAAAAAATGAAATTTTTTAAAATTCTTTAAAATTTTTTTTGTTGTTTTTTTACAATTTCACATTGAACATTTCGTATGTCGGGGAAAAATAATTATTTTTTGAAAATAAAAGAAAAAGTTGAAAAATTTTCTTTTGAATATTTTGAATTTTATTTTTTTTTTCGATATTTATGAGTATATTTCTTATAACTTCGCTTTAAATACTAATCAACAATTTCGTGTTAAATAGTCATCAAATATCGAAAAAAAATCTAATTTAAAAAAAAATCAATTTTGAAAATCATTTTTCAAAATTCTTTAAAAAATGTTTTCGTTCTGTTTTTCACAATTTCACATTGAACATTTCAAATGGAGAAAAATATTTATTTTTTGAAATTAAAAAAGTTGAAAAATTTTCTTTGAATATTTTGAATTTTGTTTTTTTCGATAATTTATGAGTATATTTCTTACAATTTAGCGTTAAATACTCATCAAATATTGCAAAAAAAACTATAAATTTAAAAAAGAAATCAATTTTTTAGAAAATAAATTTTTTTAAAATTCTTTAAAAATATTTTACGCTCTGTTTTTTTACGATTTCACATTGAACATTTCAAATGTCGGGGAAAAATAAATTATTTTTTGAAATTAAAAAGTTGAAAATTTTTTTTTTAATATTTTGAATTTTGTTTTTTTTTTCAATAATTACGAGTATATTTCTTACAATTTCGCGTTAAATACTCATCAAATATTGAAAAAAAAAACATTAAAACAAAAATCAATTTTGAAAATTTCTTTAAAAATATTTTTCGTTCCGTTTTTTTACAATTTCACAATGAACATTTCAAATGTCGGGGAAAATTAATTATTTTTTGAATTTAAAAAAGTTGAAAAATTTTATTTTTTTTTAATATTTTGAATTTTATTTTTTTTTTTTCGATAATTTATGAGTATGTTTCTAACAATTTCGCATTAAATACTCATCAAATATTGAAAAAAAACTAAATTAAAAAAAATCAATTTTTTTTAAATTCTTTAAAAATATTTTTCGCTGTCTTTTACGATTTCATATTGAATATTTCAAATGTCGCGAAAAAAGTAATTATTTTTTAAATTAAAAAAAGTTGAAAATTTTTTGTTTCAATAGGTTAGGTACCTATGAATTTGAACCTTTTGATTTTTTTTCCGATAATTTATGAGTATATTTCTCACAATTTCGAGTTAAATACTTATCAATTATCGAAAAAAAAATCTACAGAAAAATCAATTTAGAAAAAAAATCAAATTTTTCAAAATTCTTTAAAATTTACTTTCGTCCTGTTTTTTACAATTTTACATTGAATATTTCTAATGGGGAAAAAATAATTTTTTGAAATTAACAAAAAATTGAAAAATTTGAGTATTTCAAAATGTTTTTTTCGATATTTCATGAGCATTTAACGTAAAATTGTGAGAAAAATGACGTAAAAAATGTGTTCAATATTAATCATTAATAATTATTAATGATTTAGGTTTATTGCTCCTTAAACATCAATTATAATTGATGTTTAAGAAGCAATAAACCTGCTCCTTTAATTTTTTATAAAACTTTTACGATTCGGGAAAGGAAAATGGTTCGACCGATCGATTTCAAAATTTACACGCCTCATGGGCATGTATTGAGCTAAAAAACCTTCAAACCTGAGTACTTTTCGTAACATTTCGAAGTAGTTGTTGATTTTCCAAATCAGCAAAAATTTTTTTTTCACAAACACCAAATTTTAATAAAATTTGTGTTTCAAAGTTATGTGAAGAAAGTAAAAATTTTTTTGTCAACATTGTTGCCCTCTACCGGCCAAATGAAGCAACTTAAGTTAGATGTTGTAGGTTTAGTTAAATCCGTTTATTTTGGTCGCAGAAAACTGTGGTAGCTCCGTGTGCACGGCATATTGGAACGCTCTGTATTATGTACAGGTATATGGAATGGGATATGGAATATGGTATGTTTTCGCCCAAAAAGGTTTCTATTTATTTTTAGCTATTCCGACTAGTTTTAAAAACCCGTCTAAACGAATCTAGGGAAAAATCTGCCCAATTGGGGAAATTCAAAAAGCACACACAGAGAAATCTTTTGAAATCGGTTGGCAGCGCTGTCCCCAGCACCGACGATCGACTGCTGGGAAATAAATCCGCACTCGTATTTGCCTAGCGATATTTTGGCCCGATTTCACGGTGGCTTGGCATGGAGATACGATCGCTGGTCGTCCTCCCGTACAAAAAAAATTATAACGCGTACGTTTTCCTGCTTCCCACCACGCCATTTGGCTTTCTACGGTGACTCACACAAAGAAAGGCGCCCGATTTCGTCTGGAAATCGATCCCAGAAATCGCACGAGATCCGAGGACGGGGCAACTCGTCCTCCTGGAAGCGGCCGAGAGGCGGAAAACCGTAGGAAAAACACCACAATAAGCCAATTTAAAAGGAGTGGCAAGGCGAGGTACAACCGGCAACGCCGCGGGTCACGTCGATACGCTACAACGTGTCAGACCAGCCGAATAACGGCAATATTTACCAATAGCGTCTTTGTTCCCCGAAATACCAGCGGGCGATGTGACATTTCACTCGTTGGCGATGCTCGGGGACGGGGCCAACGGAAAAATCAAGCCACAAGCGAAAATAAACAAAAGAATGGTGACTGGGAAGAGCGAGGGGTTCCCAGCTCTCCACCAATAGCGTCAACGCACATGCTCACGTCACGCGGCATATCCCGGGCAATGCCCCGTACAGAGAAAACACCCTGTTAGCCTTCCTCATTACCAAACGCACTCCAGGACCACGGGAAACTCACCTGAGAGGGTTCCTAGGTCTCGGCAGCGCCTCGGGGACGGTTTCTGCGCCGTCTGGACTTTCACTTGTCACCAGGTATCCGTCATTCACTTCCACGACCCACCCGGACGCCTCCAACGATAAAAGCAGCCTCGACTCGCCGCTTTTTTCCCCGAGTTTTCGACGACAGATCGCACGTCCGTGTCTCCTGAACGCCGTCCTCAGCTTTCTACGGGAGCATCACGTGCGCCTTGGGCTCTATCGACCAATGGTGCGCGAGATCGGTCTCGCAGTCGTCAGCGCGGGCGTGGGGGCCGTGCAGGACACCCTTCGGACACGACGTCCGCCGCCGGAAGGTCCCACTCGGGGGGCGAGCAGTTTCCGCAGTCTACAAGCCGTCACCCGCCCCGAAAAACATGGCACTCTAGAGCACGACGCAGGCGGAACATATGAGCTGGTCTTCGGGCGATTGTGCGTGGATCTAGCTGGCCGTGGGGGGTGGGGGAAGGCTACCGCGTGCCCTGAACGGTGTGTGGTGCGTAGTAGCGGTGCGCGCCGGCCATTGGCGTACGGGCGAGCCGAGCGGCGTTGCCGCGTCGACGGGTTTGCGGCTAGGTCTTGGGTGGAGGTTGGGAACCACCTGCGAAACGCCGCAGTGCTCTAGAGGACGACGGGAAAGTCACCTGCTGGTGATCTGGACGTTTTGCAATGTGCATAAAGATCGGAAGGAGCGATTGTGTCCCTTCCACTTTTGCTTATGTTTGTATGAGTTTTCTGACATTTGCCGACGTCGGAAAAAGTTTTATGTGAACTATTTTCAGCCATTTTGACCTTTGATAGGTGTCATATGTACAAGCGTAATGCTTTGTAATCCATTGATGAACATTTTTCACTATTTACCTGATACAGTTGTGGGTTCTCTTATTGTTCAATGTTTGAATTACGATTTCAAGTAAAATACTGCTAAACGTCTGATAATAAAAACGAACAGTTTAATCAGGAAAATAATGAATGAAAAATGTTTAGTTTATTTCGGTATTCAAGCTTTCTATCCACTTAACCTGAATTGATTTTATATCAAGATAAAGAAATATAAATCTTTTTAATATGGACAATACGTTGAATCAAAATACGTTTTGTATTATTTTGTGAAACTAGTAATACATTTGTTCTAATTTATATCATAATTGTAAATACAAGTTTGTATCGAATTTTAAATTTAGATCAAAATTCAGACGTGCCGTTTGTGGATATGCAACCAGAAATACGCTACAAGTCATCGGGGATTGCATAGCTAACGGAAATGAATTCAAAATGTGTGAAAATGTACGTCTCGTGAAAAATAACAATGCTGCAAAAATCTACAACAATACCGCCCTATTGTAAACTTTTTTATTATAGACTTACTTTTCAAAACTTAGTTTTTTTTATAAAAAGTTTTGCTTATCTTGGGAAGCTATGGGCAGTAATCAAATATGTAATAAAACATACATGGCGTCCAATTTTCCCTAATCAAAGTGCCTTTAATTTTTGTTTCCTATAAAAACTGTATTTAACAAAGTTATGCGAGAACTCAAGAAATGCTTGAATACGTGATTCAGTCAGAAAAGAATAATAATCTCATTTTGCAAATAAGAAGAGCGACTTTTAACTATGTTACTTAAAACAGACAATAATGTAAAAAGTAAGTAAACTTTTATTTTAGATTTAACATGATATAAAAATAGCTTGATAGAACAATTTCCGGGCCTGTTGCCACGTCATCGGTTTAGGTTTCTTGACGTCTCGAGAGACATATCGCTCTCTGCCTCAGAAGTATAAGTTTTTCAGATATCAATTGAAGAACCAACAGATTGATAGTATGTACCGTCATCTCCATCAAGAAAATGGTTAGACACTGGTTTAAATAGATAGATTTTGCTTTTGTTGTATACTAAAATTCTTTAAATATCAGATTTGCTAGTATTTCCGTATTCCTGAGTGACATCTTTGGATTGTCTTGTAGAGAGTCCCTTGCTTTAGGTAGTCACATATTGTAAAATTAAGTGTAGTAATTTTTTCCCTGTAATTAGGTATTTATGCCTGTTGGGAAAATAAATAAATAAATAACTACAATTGTAGCAGCATCGTTATCATTGTATTCTTTTTTATCATTTTAATATTCACCAGTGGTATCGAATTACAGTTACATTTTGATACTTTTCTCTAAAAATTTGTATTGCATATCTATATGAAACATCACCGATTCCATAACATTTCACAAGATAAATTAGTTGCTCCAGGGTTAGCATTATTGATAAAAATTATTCGGTAGGCAGTTAATAAAAATAAATATGTTAACTTTGACATTGGATCCACGGTAATCATATGGTATGTAAGATAGTTAAAAATTGCGACGTGTTTTTATTTTCAAAATGTTATTATTCTTCATTTCTCACTAAGCCCTTTATTTAAACATTTTTTTGAGTTCTCGAACAACTTTGTTACAGTTTCTAAAAAAACTAAAATTAAAGATACTTTATTTCAGGTGAAAATTTCACATTTCGAATTTTTTTCTACGCCCTGTATGTTTTATTACATATTTGATTATTGCCGCCCACGGCTTCCCAAGATAAGCAAAACTTTTTATCAAGAATAACTTTTTCTCGAAAAAATCAACAGTAAAAAAGTTTACAAGAACGCGGTACCCCATTCGGGAACACACTGTATACTTCCAGAAAAGTAAAATCATTAAAACAATACGAACATGTTGTTTCTCATTCTTAAGTTACAAATCCAACATTTTTTATTTAACTGTTTCCTTATGATTTTGTTACTTGTAGACTAATATTACTTTAGTATTAACTTTAGTTGTTTGAATTTTAATTAATTTAGACCGATCGAAGTGAGGAAAAATAAAGAAAATTGTTACCTGGACTTTTATAAGTGGAAATGGTAAAGGGGCTTATAATAAACGAATAAATAATATATAAATGCGTGAGCAGGGGCGGCGGAGGGTTGAAAAGTTGTGAAAATAGTATCATTGGGATTTCTGGCGAAAGTTGACGTCAAACAAAAAAGTATCCAATACAAAAGTTGTAGATAAAGCCAAAATCTACAACTTTTGTAGAGGTCATTTTTTAAGATAACCTCTAAATTTCTGAGAAAAATGCGAGAAACAGTTTTTTTCTGATTATTTGTTTTTTATTTCTCATTTCCGCAAAAATAATTTAATTTTGACGAAACTTAGTGAAAGTACACCTTTCTGTGTCTTAAATAACCACAAATTTTTTAGATAAAAAAATCAAGAAGTTTCCGAGATATTCATTTTTTCGGTCTGAAACACTTTTTTTTCAAAGAAAAATTCTACTTACAAAAATCATCGTACAGATTTCTGCCGGTAATCATTTTTTTCGTTTTGATATATACTTTTTGGTGAAATAAAAAATCTATAATAGTTCAGACATACTCAAAAATGCAAAAAAGTAAAAAATGACTTGCAGCAATGAATTTTTCAGTAATTGTTGATAATTTGTTTAAATTTAAAAAAAATTCAAAAACTGATTATACCATTCAATTGTACACCAAAAATACAAAAAAACTGTCTCTTTGTTTGACCCAAAATTTATTTTTGTACAGTATTGCTATAAACATAAGTCTAATAGTTACCTAATAAATAAAATAAATAATTTTTTTTCCGTAGGATCGATTAGTGTACTTATTTTTTTTTTAAATTTTGATGAATTCATAGATATGTGTGTCCAATATAAGGATGGGATAGCATTAGGATCTAGGTAACGGTAAGTGATACGGGGTGGCTCAGATTAGAAAAAAGTTGTGTTTTTTTATACCTAACAATATACCGTTTAGAAAGTTTTGAAATTCCGGGTAGTTCCGGAGATATCCGTAAAAACCCGAAATTTTGCAAAATTGTTTAATTTTTTCTGACTATTTGAAAACGAATTTTAAAATAAATTACATATTTACAATGCCACTTTTTTCGCTCTATCCAATGGCGTCAACATTTTTGCAATCCGACGTTTCGTCTTCGAGGGGCTATCATCGGGTTAATTTTTTTAAATACTTTGCTACTATTTTTATAACAAAATCTAGTCATTTTTAATTCTGAATTAGAGGATATTACTATTTTAATCGCTTAAAAAGTTTTTAGATCGTTTTAGCTATCATTTAAAATTTTTCCTGAGTACGGCTCTGAACGCTTTCAAAATATCTATTGGATGAAGTCATAACAGTATAAAAGTCAATACCGCACAAAATATCCAACGATTTTTTACTACTGTTAGCAATACTAATTAGGAATAATAAAATATTTCATAATTCGTATTATTTTTTTATTAGATACAACTTTTTAAATTATTGTTTAAAAAAAATTGTTGGATATTTTGTGCTGTATTGACTTTTATACTGTTATGACTTCCTCCAATAGATATTTTGAAAGCATTCAGAGCCGTACTCAGAAAAATTTTTAAATGATAGCTAAACACCTTTTTAAATGATTACAATAATAATATCATCTAATTCAGAATTAAAAATGACTAGATTTTATCATAAAAATAGCAGCGATATATTTAAAAAATTTAATCTGATGATGACCTCTCGAAGACGAAACGTCGGATTGCAAAAATGTTGACGCCATTGGATAGAGCGAAAAAAGTGGCAATTTAAATATGTAATTTATTTTAAAATTACTTTTCAAATAATGTCAGAAATAAAAAATAAAACGATTTTGCAAAATTTCGGGTATTCGGATTTCGCGTCAACAGTAGACTTTGCAGTTAATACTTTGTATTACTCAAATCATCCAGAAATGATTTATCATTTGTGCATTTGTAATTCGACTTACATTTTTAAATAGCAATACTGTACAAAGATACAGTTTTGGGTCAAACAATGAGACACAGTTTTTTTTGTATTTTTTTCCCGTAGAATTGAATGGTGTAGTAAGTTTTTGAATTTTTAAAAAATTTAAACTAATTATCAACAATTATTGAAAAATTCATTGTTGCGTCATGTTTTTTTTTGCATTTTTGAGCATGTTTTTGAACTGTTATAGATTTTTTTATTTCACCAAAAAGTATAATAAGTTAAAACCAAAAAAATGATCACCAAAAACCTGCTTTTCGCATTTTTCTCGAAAATTTTGAGGTTATCTTAAAAGGTGACCTCTACAAAAGTTGTAGATTTTTGCATGATCTACAACTTTGGTATTGGATACTTTTTTGTTTGACGTCAACTTTCGCCAGAAATCACAACTTTTCAACCCCCCAAATCAACCCTCCCCCACCCCTGCTCACGCATTTATTCTTTTTAGGTTTATTATAAGCCTTTTTACCATTTCCACTTATAACAGTCCAGGTAACAATTTTTTTTTCCCAAGTGTAATTTGGTTGGACTAATTATAAAAGATGCGTATGCATAGGGATATTACGAAAAAAAATTAAGACACTTGGTAATTGAATAATGCTGCTTTATTGTAATTTTTTTTAAGAGAAACTTAGCACTTTGACAGCCAAGAGAAGCTCGTACAAGGCGTGGACCATCTCCCAGGGCGCGTTTTGGGCTTTCTTCCTTATCGTGATGCTGTACGCAGCTTTTATCAAATTATACAAGTCAGCACTGAACTAAAAAAAATGTGTTATTCAGACACATCGAATTTTTCGGTATATTCAACCGAAATGGAATACCTTTAATCCTTCGACGTCATCGTCACAAAATACTTGACTGACCTCTGTACATTCAACTAGGCTGGCTTTTTGAGGAGTGACCAGTAACATCGAATGATTTTTCTGTGAAAAAAAAAACAATTTTTAAAGTTCTACAAACAAATCTGTGATCTGAATCTTACATATTTTTTAAGTCGCTATATTTTCTCCGTTAGCAGTATTAGAAAACAAGTATTGTCATGGGCATAGGGGGCGGCAGGGGCGTGCACGGCCCACCCCAGAAAGCCCCGTGTCCACCCCAAAAAAAAAAAACGATCCAATTATATAATCTGTCTCATCAGTAAGTCGCTGACTGCGCTACCTTTATTTTAGAATCATACAGACGAAAAAGTGTTTAGGTTTTGAAATATTATATCGATAAATCGTTAATTTCGTATCTTTATTAAGGCGATGTTTCGCATTGTCTTATTGTTAGCCATATGAGTAACTAAATAAGAGGGTTTTATTCTGTGTATTCTGCCGGCAGCAGCGGCAGAGTACCGCCATCTGTAGCTGGTGCAGCAGACGACACACTCGGAAACCGCAGACCATAAAATAATTAAGGAAACTGCATTGGAAAACGCAATTAGAGTAACCATTAATTCTACTATCTTATAGATGTCGCTGCACCATAATGGCGGTAAATTTAAATGTAATAAAATACACAAATAATAAAAAGTGTTTCATAAGTAATAGATCACAAAATAGCTATTAATAGTTTAAGTTAATCATTGAAATTAACGTGAACCATTAACACCTGTTCCATGACCCATTATTTATGAAATACTTTAATTATCACTTGGTTAAATCAAAAAGTTAAAGCAGTGATACTTAAATGTGTGACAACATTCATTTTGTTATGAATTCGAAAATATTTAAATATAAAAAAAATGTACAGGGAGACTTGACTTGTAATTATTATTTTTTAAAGAAACCATTAAAAACTGCAAATTTTAAAGAATTTGAAAGAATTATTTACCTGACTTTATGTACAATGCATTGCACAGTGACTTGACAAAAATTATGGTTAGATACATTTGTTTCGAATTGGTTTTCATCAGTACGATGTAATACACTACACTTATAGCAAATAACAATTTTAAACATATGCATTTCGGTTTTTTAAAAGGTGGAGGTGAAAAATCATCCTAAATTGAAATTTGGCAGCTCGTACTATGAAAATTCTGTAATGTTACGTTAACAAATTGTTTTGCTGAATGTTGGATACTATCTGAGGATTCCGAGGTGATATTATTACAATTAATAGGTGAACTTGTAGTTGATCCTAAAAATAATGTTGGCACAGCACTTTCTATTACTGTTTTTTAAACATTTTTTACTCAAAATGGTCTTCACAAAAATAATGATCTGTTTGTCGGAGTAAATTCTGATTTACATAATTTTCGAACTGATTCTATCCACAGTAATTGTCTGTCTTTTGTCACAACATTGACGTTTAGTTCTACCAGGTAAACTCATTTCGGATTAAAAAAAAACGAATAAAAAACAGTAAGGCAGTTCAGACGATTAATAAATCCCTTATTATGTTAATCTAAAACAAAACAAATTTATTAATGTATAAAACGCCGCAACCTACCTGAAGTCCTGAAGATAAACTATAACAAGGCCCGAGAACTTATACTTGAAAATCTGGGGAAACTGGGAACCACGTGACTTGAGATGGATATACAAGTTGGGGAAAGAGTCTATAGATGTCGCCACAAAGATTTTGTAGAATAAATTTTGACAATTGCAATTATGAATCATTTCATGTCATTCTTGTTCATGTTTATTGTTTATTGTTGGTTAGGTTTGGCGAGTGTTGGTTTATTAGATATTTCATTCACATTTGTTTATATAACATAATATAGTCTGATCATCATATAATCACATTTTTTTATTAATAATAAAATGTTTTGTTTTTTTTGTTTTTTAATAAAAATGTGATCAGAGGTAGGTAGTTTTTTTTATGGATATCAACACAACGAAAAATTTAAAGTTGCATAATAAATCTCTATTACAAGAATTAATCAAAGATTGGTTTAGTAAAATTATTTACTTGTAATATTTTTTTATTCACCGTGAAAGCTAATACAATATAGAAAGCACTGAAACTATAATCATTTTCACTCTTTTTTTTTAAAATATGTACTGAAATTTGAAATTTTTTCAACAAACATTTTAAAAAGTTACAGTATCAAAATTATTTCTTATTTTAAGTAGGAAGACTATTAGAGCATTTAAAAGTGTCTTTAATGCTTGAGTGATTTTAATGCTTTTTATCAAATGTACTTATTTTCTCATGGTGACAAAAAAAATTATCTACGTCAACATTATTTTACAAAATCAATTTCTGAGTGATCTGTGAAGGGTGAGATTTGTTATGTAATTTTAAATTTAGCGGCGGCAGAATACCTAAAACAAATATTGAGTAGGTAGGTATATAGTTGTAGAGCGTACAGCTAGATGGCGCTTGCATCTTTTACCGGCTACAGGTAATTTAACTCACTGTATTACCGATAATTCCTAGAAAAGGAAAGCAATAGAAGTTGGAGATAGTGTCAACAGTTAGCGCTGTTAATGACCACGAAATCTGTTCAAGTTTCCTATCTATAGCATCATAGTGTCATTTATCTGGGAACTATAACCTCAAACCTCAAACATTCTATTCTACTCTACGTTGATTGAAATATTTCAGTCAACGCATTCTATTTCTGTTGATTGAAAGCTTGGAAATACAGATTCGATCTGTGGTTGCAGATTTCTGTTTAACAATTTCCATAAAGGACAATGTTTTGCTGCAACAACGTGAGATGGCCTCAGTGAATGCATGTTCGATCCGCCCTATCCAATAAAACCCTCTTATTTAGTTACTCTTATGGTCTTAGCTATGTCCCGTACTTTGGTTAGTGCAACTCTCTCGGTTTAGCAAATTCAATACCTATGCTATGTTTTCAGCCACGAAAATTGAATAATTCCAAATATTTCTAATTTTCACCACCAAGAACGGCGGTGACAACATTTTTAACATTAAGGCGATGTTTCGCATCCTATTAGCTATGTCCTGTACAAATTTAGTTTCGCGAAACTTCTCTCGGTTTGAAAAATACAATACCTATGTATGTTTTCAGCCACGAAATTTGAATAATTCCAAATATTTCGGTAAACCCCCATAGACCGAATTTGGTCCTCATATCTATTATGTGTCAAAAATATTGAGAAAAAAACATGCATTTAGAACGGTGGAAATGTTATAAGATTGTATACATCGTTGGACAACAAATAAATTAAAATGAAGTAACCGTATGTTTAATGAGTTATTTTATTTACAGAATTTATTTTTGCTTTGTTGTTTTGTGATGACGTGATCAAAGTTGTTTGCATGTTTGTTTATTTAATAAGTTATTGTTGGAATAAAATTGTTTCACATATTTTTATCAGCCTCTGCGAATTTGTTGGATATTTGCTTCAGTTGCTTTGACATAGATGTCGCACCGCTTAACAAAGTATATCCGTGTAGATGTCGCTACACGATACTTTTGTACTATTCAATCGTAAACAGAATTTTACGAAACGGGGTTCTATTCTTACCTGTTTGGTCTTAGTGGGTACGTATTCCCTCATCTGCATGACTATATTCCTCCTGCCGGCTGTTAGATTCCATCTCGACCAAGCAAAGTTGAAACAGGGGGCCATCTGGGCCATGTTGTAGTACAGATGCTTCTCCATGGGCCAGTGCTTCTCGCAAGCGCCTGAAAATAATTCGTCGTGATTCCCACTTTGTTATTTTTTTTCGCAAATACCTTCGATGTAACAGAAAGCGTCGGGTTCCGGAAATACGTCGATGCCAGCTTCCTTCATCTTCTAAAACCAGCAAAAATACGTTAAATATTTTTATCAACGCCAAATCGAGTGGTGTTACCCGCTTGAGTTTGAATAATTTGAAATATACGCCGATGATCTCGGTCAGGGCCTTGTTGGGGCTATTCTGTAGTTGCGAGAGGCACACGAGGCCCTCCTTGTTGACGTTGAATTCGAGCATCAAGATGGCCGCCGTGATTTGGAACGTGACGGATCCGCTGGGACAAAAAAAAACTCGGAAGTCGCTTACATAAAAAAAGCGTGCGCTATACCTGTATGCGTGTTGTGTTACAACAGTAATAGAAAAACTTGTACAAGATGTGTGTGGATTTTTATAGATACCAAAAAAAGTATGTCGAAGTGGTGCACAAAATAAGGCATTTGTTTTTGGCTACAGGGTTTAAGGTGGTAGACTTAAACAGAATTTGCAACAAATCAACTTTTTCACGTTATAAAATTTATTTCAAGAGGGACAACCTACAGGGCCCAATTTTCATAATTAAAATCGAAGTATTCTGTGAAATATTCTAATGGCCGTCACCGTAACAGTACGGAGCGGCTGTATACAGGGTGTTTAAGGATTAAGTCGACAAACTTTAAGGAGATATTCCTCATAAAAAATAAGAAAAAAATCAAGTATTAATTTTTTTGTTCCAGAGACGCTTCATTTTCGAAATATAGGGCGTTAAAGGCGAAATTTCGAAAAACCGACAATTTTCTGTAACACTATAGCAGTTGCGCCCACTAGCTGTGAACTTGAAAATATTTTAAATCAATTTCTTTTGTTCGTATTTGTTAGTAGATTTTTTACTCCATAATCATAGCACGTCTAGTTTCCTATACAGGGTGATTCAGAACTTATCCAAAAAAAAATTTTGGATGTACAGGGGATCCTTACAAATACAATTTTGTAAAGAAAAAATCAAAAAGGCAGATCGAAAATGATGTAAAAATACACTTCTGCACGGCACTGGAAACTGGTCCACCGTAAAACCTGACCAAGTACAATGCGACCGGCATGGCGGTGTGATAAAAACGGACAAAAACTTTCGCAATGAAAGAAATATGTAAATAAAATCATTTGACGTACCCGATGTTACAACAATTGTTCAAAATTTTATCCACCAATGTGTAAACACATTTGGGTCCGTTGTACTCAGTTTCTACGAACTAACACAAATGATGTCTTGCTTCACCATAACACAAATGCTTCACCATAAATTAAAACGATATCCATCAACTCGCAAACCATTTTTGACACAAACTACCCATTTTTGACACTAACTACTAAAAACCTGTTGTAATCACCACAGATAACAAGTAAATATCGCAACGACGATTGCAAAATCCGAATTCAGTATTCCGAGTCGCTGAGGCCACGTGACGAATGACGGTAGAGACTACAGTTGTCCAGCTATGTAGTGGTTGAATGTTCTATAACTTTAATATTTTTTTTCTCGGAAACTATAAGGATTTTACAAATTTTTTTTTACGATATTGATTCCATTTCTCATGCTGCATCTATTCCCAAATTTTTTTGGATAAGTTGTGAATCACCCTGTATACATCCGTTCCGTACCGTTAATGGATCACTCTGTATAAAGAGAAGGTTAGCGGGTTTAGCAATTTAAATAAAAGAACTGCCGTTCTCACTCTTCCTCGGCCTTAAGCTCCCATGCCTGGTAGGGCAGATTGACGTATCTGATGGTGGCCAAGCCGTAAGTTCCAAACAACCCCGTCCTGAAGGTCAGAATGCCCTTCTCCTCGTTGTGCTTGAGGTCGTGGATGTTCTTCTTCGACCACTGCCTTTGACCCTCGTCCCAGTAACACACTATGGGCAGCTCCAGGAAGATCACGTGACTGGGCCACCTGAAATGCGTCGGATGGGTCGGTCTATCAGTAATATTTGCCAAAGTCGGGTTCTCACGTGAGGGTGATCAGCATCAGCTTGTCCATCTCCTCCTCCTGCAGCCTCATTTCCTCCTCTATCTGTTCGGGGAGTCTCCTCAGCCCGGGGGGTGGGGGTGCGGGCGGGGTGTAGATCACGGAGAAGTCGACGTGTTCCAGTTTTTTCGGTAAGAAAACTAAATTAATTACAACAAAAATAAAAACGATAACATTATACAGCGTGTCCCACTAGTGCGGGAAAGTCCAATATCTATGTTAAAATGACATTTCTCGGAATGTACAAATTAAAAATTTATTCAACTATACAGTGTGTTCCACGTTTCCTGGCCAGACACCAACTTTGGTTTTTTAAATGGAAACACAAATTTTTTATATTTTATTATATAATAAAGGGTACTTTGTGTAGAATAGTTCTATTCAAATATTCACAGTTTTTGAGATATCTCGCTTGAAAGGTTTTTCTAGTCGATATTGGCTGTTTACATTTTCCGATACTGACAGGTTATACTACTAGCTACTAAACCCATTTTTTTATCAGATGTTTAATAAGGATGACTCTTCCGAATCATGCTGCAAAAACTGGACTTACCAATTGAAAAATTGAAAAATCTCAATTTTTTTAAATGCAACGCCCTGTATATTTTTATACCATGGGATACAGAACTAAATTCTCTACAACTTTGTTATACCCGCTCCTATACCAAAATTCATTAGTTTTTCATGAAATCTCGTTTCTATGAAAAATGCGAAGCTTACAAATAGCTTATGTAAAATATCGTAGTAGGCTCCTGTCAAAGGATAATCTGGAAAATTTTCGATTCACATAAGGTTTAATAGAAAAGCGACAGTAATAATAGTCAAATTAATTACTCTAAAGAAGATTAGTAAATAAATAATAGAATAATTAGTAAAACTCATGGTAACTGTTTATTGACAAGTATTTACCAATTTTCGTCGTAGAATTGCTCAATGTCTAGAGAAAATTGGCAGACATTTTGAGCGGTTACCTGTTAATTTCTAATTTAACTAGGTCTTTATTACTTTTGTTAGAAATGCACGATGTTAATTTACTGTTTTGGATACTGCATGCGTGTGTTCTTGTTGTCTTCTCATAATTTGCATTTGTTGTTCTTTCAAACCTCTCCTTCAGTTTTACAAAACACTTTGTACGAGGATATCTTTGTAAATCTGGATTATTAGTTTGGTAAATACGACTTGCCAATAAACAGTTACCATGAGTTTTACTAATTATTCTATTATTTATTTACTAATTCTTCTTTAGAGTAATTCATTTCAC